GTACTCATAATAGATAGGCCAACCAAATACAGTATCATAAATGAAACTAGGAGAGGATTAAAAAAAAAATAATCGACAGTAATAGAAGTTTCCTTTTGATGGACCTTCTGAAATTGCCAAAATGATCAGTTTCAAACCAAATCGGCTGAATTCCTGTGTCGCTTCCACCTTGGCTGGAAACATTTTTGTGGGTCTACTTATGATAGATGTGCCTTCCAAATTTCATGTTGTCAAAGAAAACTGGCTCGGTTTGACAAGCATTCCAGTCGGAGAGGTTTGGCTTGGAAGGAAATGGTCAAAATTACAGTCCATTGTTTGCTTCCAAACAAAATGACACATTTCCTGTGTCTTTTTAGGCACGGCTTCGACTTTCTTTTTCATGGATTTACTCATGACAAACATGCCGACCAAATGTCATACTTAGCAAAATTGACTTCAAGGACTGAAATTTCCACTTTATCCAAGGAGCGCAACAGAGACAAACCTTACCCACAACCTAAGCAAAGGCAAGCCAGCCTTACTTTCCGTGAGACCTTCCAGTTGAGGTGTCACTCAAAACACTGAGGAACTACAGAAAACAGTTTCAAAAGACTTCGAGAATGCACATGATGCACATTAATCTTTCGCTGAGATGCAGACACGTACTAAATGCAATTGAAAAAAAAAAGGACCAGCATGCAATGGAGCAGGGCCAAGGGCAAAGAAGAAAAACGCGGATATTTTCCCATCTGATCTTTTTTTTTTTGGAAGATAAATTTGATTTAATTTTTTTTTTTTTTTTTTACAGGAGGGGTTGGACAATATATAACTACTTTTTTTCACTTTTGTCACAACAACAACGATGGAGCAGACTACTGTACCATTATTTTGCTTGAATAAACCAAGTGTGGATGGAAAAACTGAACAATGAACCTCATGTTGTGGTAATTCAATTTATGTAAAGATATACAGTGTTTAAGAAATATATTTGACCGCCTGCCTCCATTGGACGCTTGTCTAATATATTAGTTAAGCACTGTATCGTTACCCCAGCAAGTCACTGAAACTCGATTCAAATTTGCTGCGTAAATTCACCATCAAACTATAAATTCTGCTGAGTTTGTTCTAAACAAAAAAATATATCTATCGTCCATGCTATTAGTCAGTCATTCCCGCAGTTTGTGGTGTGCTTTGCTCAGATTAGTTTAGGGACGGCGCAGCCAGGATGCTGGGAAGTACCTCCTGTATTTCCTAGTACCGGTATACCTTCGGAAGAACTTCCCGTGACTCTTACTAGAGCGCATGGGAAGAGGAAGAAGATATTAAAAGAAGCTGTAGATGGGCTGGAGATAGAATTCCCTCGGCCAATCACACACACACACACACACACAAACACAATTGTACATACACCAAAACAATATTGGCCTAAATATAGTAAAGCCACGGAGGTGTCAAGTCTCAGTGTATTGTGGTGTCACTCGATCATTTCCTTTTCAATGCGCAATGGGGGACCTCGTTTTAATAAACTCAGCCCCTTGTGGCAAGCTACCAGGTAATTACACGTTGGTCTCTGCGTGCGCACGACTACCTCGCGCCCCGCTAAACTCACTCCGAATGTAGCATTTAAACCGCCACCCGCCGCTACCCGCCCGCCCTTTCGCTTAAAGGTCAAGCGTGAAGTAAACTTGGCCAAACATCTTTTGAGTAATACTTAGGGCTAAAACTATTTCGAGCATACTTTTGTTTTCGGTGTTAGCAACGCGCTTAACACCGAAAATGTTTTTGTTCGGCAATCTAATCCAACTATATGAGTGCAACTAGCAATGCTGCCGACCGATATCTTGTGCGGAGTGAGCGACAACGCAACAGAACTGCCTTAGCAGTGACAATGTAGGACACCAACCCACTTTGACTTGTCAATACACTGACCAAGTAGGTAATCCCATCGTGCGCAATTTACAGCACAGCATCGAATTGCAAACAATAACGCTAGGCTAATAACCGCAGTTTATATAGTTAAGCGTTCTTCCAATGCAGATGGGTCTTGTCTCCACTCCATGTCCTGCCATTTGGGCACAACTGTTGCCAAATCAATTAAAAAAAATATATATCAATATGCTTGCTAAAAATATTTTTCTTGCTTTCCAGTAACATTCAAATATTACTTACTCGAGGTAACCATGCTAGTAGGCTAATGATAGCCCCATGGCTGATGGCATTCATCTCCATCAGTCAAGACCAATTGGTGCATTGTAATTCCTTTTTTTAACTTTCCAGGAGGAATTGGAAACTTGAAAGTGGGTACTCGGTAAGCTTTTTCAGGGTTCATATTGGGTTCCATTTTAAATTTACAAGGACCTCACGCTAAACAAATCAATGAGAGCAAACGCCAACCAGCAGATACCCCAATGACGATGAAGACTACAACAGTGCTGTCGTAAAGCTGGCTTGCACTAAATAAAAAAATGGTTTGGGACAAAACGGCCATTTATTTGTCTTTGACTTAGCTCAAATAAAAACCCCAATGACACTGTTTAAAAGTAGTAAAAAAAAAAAAAATCTGTGCCACAAGTGCAAAATGGGCTTTGCACTCCTAAGAAGGGAAAGCCTAATTAAAGCCAGGGATTTATGAGAGCTTGCAATGCTGGATGCAGATGTGGGCAGCCCTAATTAAACTTTTGGTTTGAGGATGACAAGCACTTTTGCTTGTGTCGGTTAACGGAGTGTAAAAAAGAAAATAAAAATTTAAATGCGTTCAGAAGCTGACGGCTCAGCAGGAGGCTGCCAAATGTTGCCAGAGCGTAAAAACTCAATCAGGCTTATTAAACTTTCTGTCAGAAAGCAACTTTCTCTCCATTTGAACTTGATTTATTCCAGGGGTTGCGGTATATTCAATGCTATCCTAAATGAAAAAAAACAAAAAAAAAAACACATACTGAATACTGCACGCTGAGGGTTACATGCAGCACATCTCATGTGCAACAGACACACACACACACAGCTGACTATTCTTCCAGACTTTTTTCCCCCACATTAATTAATGTCTGTGTATTTACTATTAATCTTCCTAACCCTTCACATCTGTATTGATTATTCATGTACTGTATACAATTGGAATATTTAGTACTGCTGACTATTCTTGCTCCCTTTTGTACGTACCGTACATTGTCTATTTACTCACAGAGTTGCTACGATACCTAAAGGTATATCCTTCATTCACAATCACATCTGAATTTGTAAGATATGTGTGTCCATCGCCGCTGACTACTCTTGCTGCCTTTTTGTTCACAATCACATCCCATTTAAATCTGCATACATAGCACGTATTAATCATGTGCAGTTTCCACATGCAACGCCGCCGACTATTCTTGCTGACTTTTTTCCACACCCACCACGACAAATTCCCAATGTATGCCTTTTGATCAAATCTGCACGAGTATTTACGGCGGTTATCGCTAACGTGCAGTTGCCGCGTAGAATGCTGCTGACTATACTTGCTGACTTTTGTTCAATTTCTGCAGATGCTACTATTTACTCTTCCAGCTGTGTGTGTGTGTGTGTGTGTGTGTGTGTGTGTGTGTGTGTGTGTGTGTGTGGTACAAACCTGTATGCGGTCTCGCCCTGCTCTTTCCTTCAAAGGTTAGTGCGACGACGAAGATGAGAAAGAGGAGACAAAGGAGGAGAGATGTCAGTATTCCAGAGGATTAATACAGGAGAACATTCAAGTGAGAGAGCACGCACAGGGGAGCCCAAAAAGTGAACACATGCAAGCTGTAGACATGCACAAGAAGAAGGTAATGTGGGGTGTAAGGAGCTGAACGTGGAACGTTTGTTGGCTAATATGACAACCAAAGAAAGGGAAGAACATCTGGCATGAAGTGTGTTGTGCTTGTCAGAAGCACACATTTCATGTAATTAATTAAAGTGTGGAGGCTATTTTGTCAGTACATTAAACCCCGGAAGTAACATCGGCCGTTATTGTACCTAAGTATATATATATATTTTTTTAATTTGAATATTAATTTTCTATTTTCCTTTTTTTAAGATTTTTTTTTTTACTTTGACTCACTTTTCCCTACCTTGTCAAAATAGGTATTTTTTTCAATCTCTACGGATGACTCCATGACATAAAAAGACATTCTAAAAAAAGGTATTGTATATAACTGACAAATTTGAGTCTATTCCAAGAGTCTGTTCTTCTTCTTCTTCTTTTTAAAAAAAATTGTTTTTTTTTTTTTTATTTATAACACTGAACTCTACGCTGGCTATTTTTTGTTCACCTGACTTCCTTACTTTAACCATTTTAGTTGTCTTAATGCAAAATAAAGTTTATAAAATAAGAGTAAAAATCTGCACAAAGGTGCCCTAAATGAATGATCAAATCATTTTAGGCATGTGCTTTGACCTGAAAAGGAGGGGCAACAAAACAATAAACAAGATGATCACCAAAATACATCGACGTCACTGCAAACAAATAAAATGAATATCTATTTTCACATGAAATTATAAGTAATGATTAGATAAAAAAAGATTCATTTTGGCCTCAAAACCCAGGAGTGTGAGTACTTTTTTTAATCTCTACATAATATGGCCGGTGTAAGGGTGCGAGAATGGCACATGCCAGAGTGTAAAGGGTGAAAAGATTGACGTGTCTCACAAAGACGATGGAGAAGAAAGAGGAAGAAGTGGAAGCCACGTTTAAAGTCCAGAAGCGAGGCGGGGTTTGAGGGTTTGGGTGGGGGTCCACCTACTTGGCGGGGCTGCAGGTATGCAATGCCTTCAAATGAGGCTTCCAGGTTGCAACGGAAACCGAGTTCTCATCGGCAGCGTAACTACGCCAGACACACTACGTGCAGAGGAGGGGGATGGGTTATGATTGACAGGTCAAATGAAAACAAGGAGGGGTCATGGAGGAGTAGTGAGGAGGAACAAAGAGAAAAAGCATATTAGGGTTTTTTTTTTTGTTTTTTTTTTTAAAGTAGGGGGCACTGTTGATGCAGTGTGTGTGGTTGCCGGAAGGAGGCGGTTGTGGTGGTGGTGGTGGAGGGTGGGGGGGATACATGCCTGAGGGGGGGGAGGGCGCTTTGGTAGTGGTGCCAGGTGGCGTGGAGGTAGGGACGGGCACCGTCAGTGGAGTACAGACGCCAAGCTGCCTGGTGGTGGTGGGGTGACATGTATACACATTTACACACACAAACGACATATAGTGGGGCAATGGTACAAAGATGGTGAAGCGAAAGGGAATGGCTGTGGGAAGAATCATTCACTCGTTCCACACTCATTAATCATGACACAGGGTATTACTTTATGATGTGGTGCACTGTGGAGTTCACTAAAAAGTCCACTTGCCTCAAAGAAAGTCCATTAGCTTAATGCTAACACACAATGTAAAACTCCATCGATGGGCATATAAAACGAGCGGTACTTCTTTCTCCTTTAAAGAACTTACATCCAATACTCACAGGCATATATTCTTTATCCTCTGCGGAAAACTTAACTAACTGAAATGACTACAGCTTAGTTGCCGTCCGTGTTCCATTATCAAATATACTGTATATGTAACATGGCTGTAAGCATTGTGCTGCCCTCTGATGGCCAAGGACACCAGATGGAGGCCCATTGAATGAAATCAAACTTTTTAAAACATTTGATTTAATTATGCTATTTAGATTATCAGCGAGCTCCGAAGAAGCCTGATCCTGACCCTGATCATTTGCATCAGGTGTGGTGGAGTAGGGAAACAAGCAAGACAGCAGTCCTCAAGGACTGGGTTTGGACACACCTGATTTAGAGCATAAACTAAATACATGACACATTTGAACGGCACTGGAAAATGCTAAATACACTGTACACAATAGGATATAGGGAATGATAAAAAAAAACAGCCAATGTGAATGATGTGATCATGTGACATCAAAATGGCTTCCTGAGCGCATCACCAAGATCAGGCTGGCAGCCATTTTTAAGGTCCTACACAGGCATTCGATTCCATTCAAATATCACTATTGTTTGTCAGGATGGATTTCAATGAGTGAGGCATTTTGAGTGATGGAAAGACCGACTTCACAGTTTGGTAGAACAAAGTAAGAAACTAACCAAAAACAAACTATCAGACCAGCTAACTAGCTAATGTACCATCCATACAATTGACCAACAAATCAACTAATCGACTGACTCACATGACATACCAAGCAGCCTTTGCCTTAACTACTAACAACAAACTAACACATCATCCGACCAACCAACCAACTAACCAACCAACAGAAAGACAGCTCAACAAAGTATCAAGCTAACTTCCACAGTCTGACAGACATACCAAGCAACCAATTAAAACAAATTCAAACAAACACACCAATTGACAGTTTGACCAATTAACCATGTAGCTCACAGACTAACTGACCAACCTCCTAACCAACCAAAGAACTAACCAACCAACTAACAGACTTACTAACTACATACCTAACCAACTAACCAGCCAACCAACCGACTAATCTACAAAGGAACCAACTACCTAACCAGCCGCCAATCCACCAACTAACACCAATTTACTGACCAACCGACTAACTAATGATCTAACCAAATTAATCACAGAGCAAATAATTAATAATCTGTCCCACCAACCAAATGACCAAATCGACCAAGTAACTCACCAACCATCAACTAACTGATAGACAGATGGATGAACAGATAGACTGACCAGCAAACTCTACTAACCAACCAACTGAACGCCTGACAAATTAACTCATCAACCAATCGACTAACTAATGAATGGATCTGCATATTGACCCCGCATTTTTTGTGACTTTTGCATTAGAGTGCACTGTGACACTGTTGCTTGTGACTCACATGATGAAACCAACATTCACACGAACGCTCACACACGGGTAGGGAAAACTACCGCCAATCAGCTGGCAGCCAGGTCTTAATTTGAATGCCACTCAATTGGACCGAACATCTCCCCTTTCAAAACAACAGCTGGACGGGGACCAGCTAAGGTGGCGGTAATTTTCCCAGCGACCCGCCAGCCAAAAAACACAACGCAGAGATGAAATGTGTGACGTGGGTGAGTAATGGAGAAGTATTTCATCGATGAGCTGCGTCATCACATTTTAATCAACACAATTCAATCTGCTCCCAAGGTTGGTTTCACCTGTTGGGGGAAATGTTGTCAAGTTACTGGAGGAAGAGGAGGAGGAGGAGGAAGAGGAAGAGAAGAAGACAAAAAAGAAAAAGTGGAAACATATGGCGTGATGTGACGTATCACTGCAGCCTGGAGGTACGTCTGTCCGGGGCAAGATCGCCATGGTAACAGCTCACGCCATTAATTACCAGCTACACACGTACCATACGTGCGCGCGCACACACACTCACACTCACACACACACACACACACACACACACACACACACACACACACACACACACAAAACTCCACTGATTGGCTGAGCACAGGTGAAAACATGCAACAGTGTGACATTAAACACACAGTAGGGAATACTTAAGAAGGTTGTTTCTGATCTTCAGGTAGTGCATGAGGAACGGGTGCAGTGTGTGTGTGTGTGTGTGTGTGTGTGTGTGTGTGTGTGTGTATTACCTGAATGAGGCTGGCTGCAGGATTTCGTCTCTTTTCAAAGTGCTTCTGCCGATGTTGCTCTTGTACCTTCAGGGCAAAACCTGAACCCAGGATGCCCTGAGAGAAAAAAAAACCCCTCAATGAGCCAAACGAACAATGTACACAAAATGTCTATTGTTTGTGCGTGTGTGTGCGTGCGCGTGTGTGCGTGCGTGTCTCACAGCAGGCAAGGCAAAGAAGGAGATTCCCAGGAGAGCAAAGCCAGCAGACAACAACCTCCCAGTCCAAGTCTGCGGCGTCTTGTCGCCATAGCCGATGGTGGTTAGTGTGATCTGAAAAGTTCAAAAGTAGTTCAGCCTGATGGTCCTGAGGCTTAAATCGTCTGTATTACAGGACACAAGGTGGATTGATTGTTGTGGACTTTTCAGTGGAATTTGATGTTAATGCTGTGTGACAGAGCAATGGAAGAATAATGGATTTCATTCTGTACCCACGGGTGGCTCTCAATTAATTAACTTCTCTTTTCATGAAGCAACCAACAAACAAACAAACAAACTCACTAACCAATTAACAACCTACCAAGACAACAAATCGTCCATCTGTACAAACTGGCATTAAAATGATGAGCTTTGTGTAAAATCAGCATCAATTCGGGCTGAGAAAAAAAACAATGGATGTCATGCCCTACTTATTTCACAGTTTGACAGTCGGTTGAATCAATGTTCTGATGACATATGAGGTCTGAAAAGTGTTTGGGAAGGAATGTGCATGTGTGTGTGAGTGTGTGCGCGTGTGTGGCTCTTGCGCACCGTGCCCCACCACAGAGCATCGGCGTAGGTGGCAAAGTCCTTGTTTTCCTCCTTCTCCACCAGGTACACAAGGAAGGAAGAGAAGATGAGCACCAGGAACCCGATGTACCACGCCGTCACCAGCTCCTAACAACCAACACATACAACACTGTCCAAATGCGCACTCTCAGCAGCCAACAGTTTAATCGCAACCTCAACCCAAATAAATACTCACTCTCAGCAGCCAACAGTTTAATCGCAACCTCAATTGCAGTTGTGCTTCAGACGCCGTTTTAATTGAGTAGCTAAAGACTTTCCAAAGAGGACAAAAACGTTGCTGAATGAGTGCCGACGAGAACGAGGAGACGAGCTCTAGTGTGTCCTGGTTGTGTTTCGGTTTGTCTCCAGCAGGTGGCAGTGGAGGGCTCTTCCCTCCCGTTGCGCACCTGTTCCTGGTCATATCATTATCTGTCACCTGTTGTAAGAGACTGCCAAGCCATCAGCAGTTGTCGGATAATTCGCCTTGCTTATGTCCGAGTGTTATTTTCTAGACCTTTGTTGTTCTCGATCTAGTTCCGAGTGCTGTTTGTAATTTGCTTTGTTTGGCTTGTTATTTCTGTTTTGTTTTGGTATTTTTACTCTCTGTGTGTTTTTGTTTTACTAATTGATTGGATTTTCTTTGTCGTTTGCGGATTGAAGTGATTTTGAGTTCTTCATTTCTCTTGCCTTTTGCAAGCTCCCAGCGATTTATGTTGCACTTTGTGACTTTATTTCGTAAATAAAACTTTTTTTTTACTCGATTTTATCATTGTCTGCATTTGTGGGATCCATTCCTGTTCCGGACTGGTCCTGGAATCACAACACATAGTTCTTCTGGTTCTATCTTAACTGCTCTGATTAAATTCCTCAAATCATCAAGACAATTTTATTTTATGGGAACAGTTTTAAATACTTTAAAAAAAACGAAATAAGTACATTTTCAGAATCTGGACCTCTAAAAATTCTAATTGAGTACAAATGCTTTAAGTAATGTTCCGGGGTTTAAGAATGCTGTTGCCTGGTTGCCAACTGGCAAGAGAACAGCTCAAGAGACCAAGGCTGCGTCAGTTGGTGATTTGTGAAGACTTGGCTGGAGAAAATATCCCAAGATGCATTTCTCGCCAAATGGCTAATATGACAGCGAAGGAGTGTACTCACATTTGTACGTTTTATTTTTCCTTCCCCCTTTTATCAGCTTATGGAAATTCGTCAGAGCCAAGGGGGATGTTCACAACTACATAGAGACGAGCGTTCTTCGGAAGCATGTTCTTCGAAACTGTTCTTACCAAGACCGCACTCGCCGGATATTGAGAAATGTTTTCTTTCTATTTCGGAACTCTGATAATGGCACCATGAAAGAGCCAAAGTTCTCCGGTTATTGCTTTACGGTTCTGCCGTCTCCTGCTACGTCTCGTACCTTACTGTGTGCGTAGACGACAGACCCCAGCAGCTTCCAGGTCCCTCCCCGCCGGTCCATGCGCACCATGCGCACGATCTGCAGGAAGCGGAGGCTGCGCAGGGCTGAGGCGGCGAAGATGTTGCCCTGGCTGCCGGCGGAAACCACGGCGACGGAGGCGATCAGCACGATGATGTCTGGGGAGGGTGGGGTTGGGGCGGGGGGTGTGGAAGGTCAACGGCTTCACAATGCACATGAGTCAACCCCTTACAATTTGTCACCTTCGGAGGTGTTGCATCAACACGTTTTCTTTGTCTTTTTTGAATGCCTTCCAGACAGGTCTGAGTGTACGGCTCGAGTGATATTCTGTTCCATTCGTCCGAGATGCACGCAAACGTGGTTTACGCACAAGGGCAGAAAAATGGACTGTAAATACCAAAAGCATATGATGATTAAAACGTACATAAGCAAAACTGCAGTATTACACACATGGGGTTCGAGGTACACACACAATACTGCTGTCCGATATCGGAAAAAGATGCAATATGCGATACGGGTGTTGAATATAGCGATATCGATATCGCAATATTTAACAGTTACCGCAACAAATGTCGTTTTTATTATTTAATGAAATGTATTTACATTTATGGGCAAGCTCGATGTACTCTGAAATATTTAATTGTCATGCCCCTTGATACCGTTCCACCGGTTGGATGAAAGTATAATACAATGCAACACCATAGGTACACGCACACACGAAAACATAAGTACACACACAAAGACGCACATGAAATCATATAGACACATGCCAGTGTACACAGTACTGTATATGCAAGAAAAAAAAGCTAAACAGGTACACAGACACGTCTTGTGCACATGCATCTACAAGTACACAAACAAACACTTGTAAGTACACAAAGGAATGGGACAAAGTTACACACGATGGCACATACACAGTGTCATCAGGGTACATAAAAGAAAATTTCAGATACACACCCAGACATACTGTCTGAGCATAACATGTACACACAAGGGGACAGAGGTACGATACACTGGTACACAAAAAAGTGCATTAAAAGGTACACAAACTAACACTTACAGGCACACACACAGAGACACGCATACAAATATATACAGGTACGCTCACACAAAAGAGCATTAGAGGTACACAAGAGGGAACATTGGTATACACACTGGTACACACACAATGAGTCTTACCGATGATACAAAATGGCTTCCGGGCAAATCGGAGGCGTCCTTGCCAGCCTCGATAGCGACAGCAGCAGCCGGCGCTCCATATTCGGATGATGTACTCCAGACCAAACACAACGATCATCACAAACTCCTACAAAAGAACACAGGCACACGCGCCAGCGACACTTCTCAGCGTTGCGTCATGAAAACAGAGGTGTCCTGGCCGGTCCATTGATGCATCACGCAATATTTTGCAACCTGTATTGCGCCAGGTCCTATACATAAAGAGTTGTACTGTTCCAGCACCGCAAAACAAGTCCTTCAGAGGATTAAAAATAACACTGTACAGTATTGTTCTTTAAAATTACACGAATAAATAACAAATAAATAAACATCTTGATTTCATGCTTCAAAGCCCATTGACATTGTGCTACTCCTTCTGGTGAGCCTTGGCGACAAGGGGACGGCATAAGCAGGAATATTAGTTAGCTTTCATCATATCATTAAGATTGTCCTGTTACATGCGTTAGTGTGCACACACGCTGTTTGTTGTCAAACAGCTTAAAAGGAAATCACTGCTTGTTTTGTTAGCCCGTCTATGGCATTGTGTGTTAGTATTAAGTTAGCAGACTTCCGTAAGGCAAAATTACGCAATTTGTTTTTTTGGTTGGTTTTAGAGTAAACTTCAAGTAGAAGGGGCAATAAACAGCTTGACGCAAGCTCTTGGCCATAACAAATTGTCACAAAAGAAAAAAAGTCGAGGCACTCGTAAATCAAGGTCCCATTATATACGAAACAATCCTAATATCATGCCAATTTACTCATAAATTTATTTCTCGGGTTTTTTAATTGAACAAAAAGCTATTGTTGTGTTGTAACAGGTTAATTGTACTTTAGGTCAGGTGTGCGTGTCTCGTACCAGGATGAGAAGACAGTGTGAGGAGAATTCCTGGTGAGCAGGAATGGTGGAAAACACGGACAGGACCAAGCATCCAAATACCAGGATGAACCTGCAGATAGAAACACAACATTGATGGACTTTGTTGATGAATTCTATTTTTAATCACTCTGGATAAATTGTGTTTTTGGAACATCCGTAATTCAAAGTGGAGACTTGCTGACATGCACATTTTACACAAACAAATTGGCTGCGAATAGAGAGGAGCAACAAATTAGTAAAATCAAAAAAATGTTCAAAAAACACACAAATACAAAATGAAAACACTCGCAAGGAGCTTCTATGGGCCACAACTTAACTGAAGGTAACACAAAGCCTAGTCAGTGTTGCCAACTTAACAATTCAGTGACTATTTACCCCAAAATTAATTAATTCCCACTAAAAACTACAAAAACAATCTGCCTATATTACATACAAGCAACATGATTATTTTACATAATTTTTTTTGTGTGTGTGATGTCTGCAATGTAAGTCCCATTTGCTTTTACTAAAAGGCGTAAGGGGGGAAATCTATTCGAATCGGAAATCATATTCTTGTGGGGAAAAAAAAAGATATCAGTTTAAAGCCAGATCACTTTACACACACATTTATCTTATTTAGATGAGACACACACGCGCACACACACACACGCACACGCACACACAGACACACTGTGTTTGGCTGCAGGCGAAACACTTTGTAAAGGTGTAAAGAGTGTTAAGAGCTTCCCTACAGAGTCAATAAATCATCCGCGTGTGCTAGAATGCGGTATGCAAGAGGTCGCCGTTTTCCACACATTACCGTCATGATGTAGTGTATGTGTACGTCCGCGACGCCGCGTGAGCGTGCCAAGCCTGCAGAGCTTTTCAATCAAGGCGGCCGGGAGGGAGCGAATGGAAAGAAAGAATTAAAAAAAAAAAGATGGAAGGATGGAGGAGGAAGACAAAACACTGCCAGATGAGCCACTCGCTTTGAACCATAAGTTTTACTTCTAAAAATAAATTTAAAAAAAAAATATGAAGCACTTGGAGATGTGGTCGACGATCAAAAGGGTCATTTGGTGCATCTCAAAGAGAAAATGTGACTTTAAGTAAATATTGTGCTGGGATCAATAGTTTGAGCTGAATGATGAACAAAAGTTGATAACAAAAGGATGAAAAAATTTACATAAAAAAAGAGATGACAAAAACACAAAGAGTGAACACTGAAGAAGAAAATACACAAAAACTCTACAAAAATGACCCAGTTGAACATCGATGGATCAACATGGGTCAATGACCGACAAACGATGACTAGATAACAAAAAGCATAAAAACAGACCAACAATCAATGAAAGACAATTCAGGAAAAAAATCTCAAAACAAAAAGCAAACAAACATGTTGAAAACATGAATAAAGTTCAACAAAAATGAAGAAAACTTGAACAAAGCTAACAAAAAGTCTGTTAAGCTGAAGAAAATGTGATCAATGATAACAAAAAGGAAAGAAAGTGAATGAAACAAAAGATAATCAACTGCAAAGGATGATGAAGGCGACACGAAGAAACATAAAAAGTAAAGATGACAAAAACTACGAGTAAAGGTCGATAACAAAAAGCGACGCAAGCGGAGTCGCCGACCGGGCCTTTCCATTACGACCGATCTTGTTTATTCACTGGAGTGCAGCAGCGATGATGGTGCCGATACACTCGGGCCCTTTTCATTTCCCAGCAACGACAAAACACAACGAGGCACGTTTCCACTGCTTCGTCCACCTCCTTCTAATCATCATCATCATCATCATACTCACACTCGCACATGCTGCATCAGAGCTTGGATTTTTGATAATAATCAGCGAAACACTTAAAATATGGACGGGCTTCCTGTTTCAAGCAAGTGCATCTTCTGGCTTTTTAATTTATTTATTTTTTTTATATAATTTCATCATCTATGTTTTTTGTCATCTTTCCTTTCTTCAGCTTGGTTCACTTTTTGTTGATCTTCGATCGAGTTTACTTTTTGTAATCAATGTTTCACTTATATTTGTTTATTTGTTATCTTAGTTCATGTTTTCTTCATTGTTGTTTACTTCTGTTATCTTTGTTAGCTTGTTTTCTCTTATATTAGTTTACTTTTTGTTGTTTTTTTTCCTCCATCTTCATTTACTTTTTGTTGTCTTTTTTCATGTTTCCTTCATTTTTTTTTAAATGTATGTTTTCTTAATCACGTTACATCTTTGTGTGCTTTTCTTTGTGATGTTGATTCATCTTTGTCATTTCGGTTTATTCTTTTTTTTCCTCCATCTTCATTTACTTTTTGTTTTCTTTTTTCATGTTTCCTTCATTTTTTTTTTAAATGTATGTTTTCTTGATCACTTTACATCTTTGTGTGCTTTTTTGTGTGATGTTGATTCATCTTTGTCATTTCGGTTTATTACTGTCATTGTTTGGCTTTTTTGATGTTTGCTTTTTATCTTTGCTCATGTTTTCATCATTTTTGTCAACCTTTGCTCTCTTTGTTGATGATGCACTTTTTTCCTCATTATGTCTTTTGTTTATAGTCTATATTGTTTATTGAGCCACTCAAAAATGTATCAAAAAAGATATTGAAATATTTTTAAAACACTAAGAATAATGCCGAACAGGAAAGTAAGATGAGAGACATTCCAGAAGTCCAGATTTGTGGGAAGGTTCTCATGAGTGGTTCTGATTGCCTCCAGTCCTGGTTGGCTGATGGCGGCGTGACAGAAAACGGGACGGCCGCTCGAACGGTTGCGTGTCAAGAGTGCGTGTGACACATGGCTTTATGATAGAAGGCATCATAACACACACACACACACACACACACACACACACACACAACATCTGTTACAAAGATTGTGTGTGCATGCGAGATGATCCGCTCGCACATCCACTGCTTTTATTAACTCCATCTTGACAAGCTCGCGTCCAAATAATTGAGAGCAGATGCTTCATTCATATATTTTTTATGTTGTACTCCAGCAAGCATCAAACCGCATTAAGTGCTTTTTCTTTGGCTTTTTGTTTTAATCCGCGCACACATGGGGATCTTGATCTTGTACAGAAAAGTGGGAGCGGGGGAATTTAATTAAACCGGCCTCTCAAAAAAATGTGAAGCAAATGTGAATTGAACCAAATAGGTCCGACCATCCATTTGCAGTATTGTGTGTAGCATTTATGAATGGGTGATTGAAAAGTAACTGATTTTTTTTCTCTTTGCTTCCTTTCATTCAAACTTCACATTTTCACGCACCATATTTTTTGGACTACAAGTCACTCTGAAGTCTAAGTCGCATTTTTTGGGGGGCTAAATTACTTGACAAAAACCGAGACCAAGAACGGTGGAGATCGGACCTGTACCCAGGGTCACATTCCCTAGTCGTGAATCCGTTTGTAAACATAGTCTGAGCGCGCTTCACTTCACTCCAACCATTCAGAAACTCAGAGACTTGACCAAATGTTCCGTTCAGTTTTTCAGAGTACCCCAAAAAAGGAGCGTCAGAGCCCAGTGTGTCAATGTTCCGTTCAGTTTTTCAGAGTACCCCAAAAAAGGAGTGTCAGAGCCCAGTGTGTCAGGCTGTACAGATGTCTCCTAATAGAGGGCTCCGTCCTTTTAGCAATTACCCACAATGCACTACCGGCGGCCATATTGGAGGGCTGTTATAAACAAGTCATACACGAATATTCGTGTGAATGTAGTCCCTCAGCATTTTTTTTTTGAACAACCTATCATTATCTCTTAAAACTCATACCTTGGCAGTCTATGGTGCAAATTAGTGCAAACCGAAAAATTTCATACATTATATTAGCAATTAGTATTGGCTGTTGAGGCATCTTCTGAAATCTCTTCTTGCTCGGTGTTTTGCAGACTAAGTTACTCCTTGTCCACCTTTAATTGTGTGAAATTAAAATTTCAGATTAGAAAATGAACATAAACCACCTTAATGAGGACGTAAAGCTCACACTTTTTGTTTGCTGCAACACAATGTGATGATTCCCCAAACTAAGCAAACACATCTAAGATCAATTCTCTACTTCTTTCTAATTTGGACAACATCTACAAGAGATGCTTTTCATTCCTGAAATATAAAGTCAGTTGGAATCATGAGCCTTCCCCTCTGGAGCTAATCTGTCGAGTTCATGATTTGAGCGCTTTGGAAAAAAAAAAAAAAGAACACTATGTAATGGAATATTAGTGTCTCTCGTGTCTGGCTTACTACTACTGTTGCGGCTGTGTTTCATCTCATATGCACACACACACACGCACACACACACACACACACACACACACACACACACACACACACACACGCACACACACACACACACACACACACACACACACACACACACACACACACACACACGCGAGACACAAGAGTCTGAGGACGGAGGTCTGGACAGCATCAGCAGCCGCGGTCAACGCGGCGGTGTTTGGGCTATACACAGTTTAAAGTTCCCTTGGCAAGACACACAAACACGGCAAAAGGGAGAGTGTAAGCCAGCTTGTTTTACACCACAAGTTCAGAGTCATTCAAGAACATTTTCCGTGATTGCATCCAGTTGAACGGGATACATGCAGCAGACGTATGCACACAGGAAAAAAAAAGGGAAGCATTCAGTCTATGCAGTAAGCGAGCAAAATGCGGTCTTGGCTAAAACAACTTCCGCTCTTCTCTGAAGATTTTCTACAACGTGACCAAAATATATTGTGTTAAGACAAATAATTTAAGTTTCAAAGCAGTCCAGTGCAGTAATTAAAAAGTGTGGCGCGCAAATCACTAGTAGTACACTGGCTCCCTCTAGTGGAACTTGAAAGAATCACTCAATTAAATGGTCAAAGTGTGTAAAATCGTTTTTTTTAAATTGATACGTGACATTTGCCTAGCAGTGTTTAGTTGTATTTAACTCGGAAGTACAAGACATTTGTATTCAAGCACCCTGCCTTTCATGAAGATGTCATTATCATTTTTCATGAAGATTATTAATGATAATAATCAGCTGCTGGACCATCTCGAGTGGCATCTTGGCAGCTGCTTCCCAGTCTCGGCCTCTCCCGTTACCAACGGTGCTG